ACTATTTAGGGGGGTGACACCAAGGCAAAAAATAGCAAAATATAGAGAAAAATGATAATTCCACTTAATTAAGTGATTAATTCGAGTGTTAAATAGTCTTTTAAGAGGTGCAAATCGAAAGTTTGAGGGGGTGGGAGGGGGGGTGCAAATCGAAAATTGAAAGTTTGTCCCCGGGAAGGGTAGCTACGCCTCTGTGGGGTGACACCATTAAGTGCCGCACCGGGTGACACATGATCTCGCTACGCCACTGGGTAAGTGGTTGGTGGTTAAGATATGGTTCCGGTGTAGGTCTGATAAATGTGATGTAATAGGTGTGGCGTGGGTGTCGCATGTTTGGTGCAGATCAATGAAGATTGCCTATCAAATGTGCAGTTATTTGAACCAATGAATTACATGATTGTAGATATGGTGGCATAATTTTCTGCGTGTAAATTGTGTTTTATTTACAGCTTGAATTGGAGTTTCATCTTAAACTGCAGTAAATTTGTGTCTTTAGTGACCCTAACAACCAGGACAGGTCGATGATATGGTCAGGACACACCCCAGGACATGACCCCAGGACATGGCCCGAGGACATGGCCCCAGGACACGGCCCCAGGACACGGCCCCAGGACATGGCCCCAGGACACGGCCCCAGGACATGGCCCAAGGACACGGTCAGGAGACGGCCCCAGGACATGGCCCCAGGACACGGGCCCAGGACACGGTCAGGACACGGCCCCAGGACATGGCCCCAGGACACGGTCAGGACATGACCCCAGGACATGGCCCGAGGACATGGCCCCAGGACACGGCCCCAGGACACGGCCCCAGGACATGGCCCCAGGACACGGCCCCAGGACATGGCCCAAGGACACGGTCAGGAGACGGCCCCAGGACATGGCCCCAGGACACGGGCCCAGGACACGGCCCCAGGACACGGTCAGGAGACGGCCCCAGGACATGGCCCCAGGACACGGGCCCAGGACACGGCCCCAGGACACGGTCAGGAGACGGCCCCAGGACATGGCCCCAGGACACGGGCCCAGGACACGGCCCCAGGACACGGTCAGGAGACGGCCCCAGGACATGGCCCGAGGACACGGCCACCAGCAGTAAAAGATTCTGGTCGTAAAACGGTCGTGCCAGCTTGGCCACCTTCTCACTTGAGTGCCTCCACCCACGCGTTGAGCTGGACTAATCCTATGATGTAATACCCCAAAGATCAAGATCCTTTACACCCCACCTAATGATTGAGTTTGTTAAGCCACTGGCTTATGTCCACTCTGCCGATGGCTGAGGTTTAAAAAAGCCCAGTGTTAAAGACAGGTAGGAAACAAAAGGATAATATATATATATATATATATATATATATATATATATATATATATATATATATATATATATATATATATAAATATAAATATATATAAATATATAAATATATATATATATATATATATATATATATATATATATATATATATATATATATATATATATATATATATATATATATATAAACGACACGGACAAAAAATTGACACGGACAAAAGGCCGATAAGGACAAAAGGCCGTCATGGACAAAAGCCTACAGGTAACAGATTGTTGGGATCAGATTCAAAAGCTCATACTCCATGACGTCATATTCAGCAGTTTTTACTTGTAACATTCTGTTTGACGTTATATTCAACTACAATCATTTTAATTTCGCACGAAACCGCAATGTTCTGAAACGTGACAGCAAGCTGTACATCTACCCTCTGTCACACCCCTACATCACACAAAGCCGTACATTTACCATACGTCACACAAAGCCGTTCATCTACCGCACGTCACACGCCTACGTCACACAAAGCCGTACATTTACCATACGTCACACAAAGCCGTTCATCTACCGCACGTCACACCCCTACATCACACAAAGCCGTACATTTACCATACGTCACACAAAGCCGTTCATCTACCGCACGTCACACGCCTACGTCACACAAAGCCGTACATCTACCCTACGTCACACAAAACCGTACATCTACCGCAAGTCACAAGCCTACGTCACACAAAGCCGTACATTTACCCTACGTCACACCCCTACGTCACACAAAGCCGTACATCTACCGCACGTCACACGCCTACGTCACACAAAGCCGTACATCTACCCTACGTCACACAAAACCGTACATCTACCGCAAGTCACAAGCCTACGTCACACAAAGCCGTACATCTACCCCACGTCACACCAAGCCGTACATCTACCCTACGTCACACCCCTACGTCACACAAAGCCGTACATTTTTCATACGTCACACAAAGCCGTACATCTACCGCACGTCACACGCCTACGTCACACAAAGCCGTATGTTCAACATACGTCACACAAAGCCGTACATTCACCATACGTCACACCAAGCCGTACCGCTTGTCACGCAAAGCCGTACCGTACGTGACACCAAGCCGTACCGTACGTGACACCAAGTCGTACCGTACGTGACACCAAGCCGTACCGTACGTGACACCAAGCCGTACAGTACGTCACACTAAGTGATACATCAACTCGATGTCCACGCCATCCCCCCCCCCCCCCCCCCCCCCCCCCACTACGCTAACGTTTCCTTGAAATTGTCCCTGAAGAATTGAACAGACATTTTATCTGGCAACTTTCTAAAGCTGGTCTAGTCATCAGTGCACAGACACACCGGCCTGTAGATCTCCAGTGTACGTTCTGTAAGTATATCCATCATTTATCCAACACATTACCCGTTTTAATTTTATTTATGGATTCAGACAATGTTTTACAATATATTCAAAATAATACGACCACAGGTCTTAAAAAAATAGAATTTGATAATTTCTTAGGTACCAATACAAAAAAAAAGTTTAGTTCAGTTTTAAATTATTCTTAATAAATGCATAGGATCATTCATATTTAATACAGTGCGATTTTATAAGAAGATGTAAGTAAAAATAGCTCAATAAGTAAGCTACTTTGTCTTTAAACGAGCGCGCAATTTGTCTTTGGTAGTCTAGTAAGAAATTCTTTATCGATTGTCGTTAAAGGTTATTTCTATAAGTTTATCAAGACATATTGCATGAATTTATGTTTGATTTATAAGAATGTATAAATATGTATTGCATCAATTGATATTTGATTGATAAGCGCTATGCTCAGCCGCCTTTGTTTCCCTAACGTAAGTTGGGTACCCATCAAAGCTGGGTGGACTCAGGGACGTTCCACTGATTTGAACCAAACTCAAGACTCTTGGGTTAGCAGTCTAGCTGTCTATCGCGAGGCCACGCCGTCCTTTATACATTTATGTGCGTTGTTATTTATTTATTGAGAAATCGGAAATAGCTCAAAGTACTAATTCCGGTCACCGAAAATTAAATAAAAATTTGAAAGAAAACAGATAATTAGATCTTTTACTTGTATGTGAAATTTCGTCTATATATCAGAAATAGTACTCAAGTTATAGCCTTTTGAAAAACCAAAAGTAGAATAAGTTCCAATTCCAATTATCGGAAATCGCTGAAAAGTTATTACAAATACTACAAATTTGGATGTAATACTTATATATAAAATTTCATCAACCTAGCTGTAACGGAACCCAGGTTATCGTGTTCACAGACACACATACACACACGGACAAAATTGCAAAGCTCAGTTTTTCCGACTCGATGACGCGTAACACGCCGAGATTTTGATAAATTTGGATTTATAATTTTTGCACGATTAAAATAAGTCCCCTATACTCCGTATATGATCAAAACTGCGGTGTAGAGCAGTGAAAACTGTCAAAAATTCATTTGATTTTTTGTGAACGATTACAATACTTCCTCTATAGTCTGTATACGAGAAAGTATAAACAATTGGGTCAATTTATGTTTTAAGTTTACATTATACAATGTATGAAGTGGCTAGTTGATATTTGAGTTTAAAGAATGTTTAAAAACATTTTATCAATTGATATTTGGTTTTAAAAAATGTATAAAGAGAGTTTGAAGTTGATTTCCAATAGATGTTTATAAAGAAATACTGATATTAGAAGTTGTTTTCTATGATTTCTAAGAGTGTATGAAGAAAAGAAAAGAACTCGGAAACGTGGAATTAGGGTCTGATATTGAAAGAACAAAAAATAGAGTTGAGGTCTGAAATTGAATGAATAAAATAAAATAAATAAGATTGCTACGTAGCGTTGAGGTCTGATATTGCAGAACAAAAATAATAACTATGCTACGTAGAGTTGATGTCTGATATTGAATGAAGAAAATAACTATGCTACGTAGAGTTGATGTCTGATATTGAATGAAGAAAATAAAACCTTTGCTACGTAGAGTTGATGTCTGATATTGAATAAAGAAAATAAAACCTTTGCTACGTAGAGTTGATGTCTGATATTGAATGAAGAAAATAAAACCTTTGCTACGTAGAGTTGATGTCTGATATTGAATGAAGAAAATAAAACCTTTGCTACGTAGAGTTGATGTCTGATATTGAATGAAGAAAATAAAATAACTTTGAGGTCAGATATTGAATAAAGCTCGCCTAATACGTGATGTTGATAAAGTGAAGTAGCGACAGCGTCTGGTGTAGACAAACCGCGGTGTCAACGCTGGGCACTTGGTCCAGTTTACAGTGGACGATAACGTTTCTTCACTGGGTCGACCAGGTCTAGGGACCTTTTTTTTCTAGACGATAACGTATCAAACGATGTGGGTGGTCAGGTTGGTTGAAGTAGTCTAGGGTGGAGCCAGGTAAAACAAAAGGAGCCAGTCAAGTAGGATGGGGGCCCCTTGATGAAAGTCGTTTAGGAGGGAGGGGCTTGGGTAGAGATGTTGTTGCACGTTAGAGCAAAAAAGATGGAGAGAGGGGCCCAGTCAAGTAGGGCGAGTGTCCAATGAAGAAGAATGGGGCCAGTGTGAGTTTGGGCGTGACACAGAAAAAGATAGGGTACCTAGACAAGAGATATTTGTAAAATATTGTGAGATCCAGTCAAGTAGTATGCAGTTCAGTCTCGTAGGGATTAGGGCCCATTGAAGTACGGCGAGGGCCTACTGAGGTAGGGTGAGGGCCCACTGAGGTAGGGTGAGGGCCCACTGAGGTAGGGTGAGGGCCCACTGAGGTAGGGTGAGGGCCCACTGAGGTAAGGTGAGGGCCCACTGAGGTAGGGTGAGGGGCCACTGAGGTAGGGTAAGGGCCCACTGAGGTAAGGTGAGGGCCCACTGAGGTAGGGTGAGGGCCCACTGAGGTAGGGTAAGGGCCCACTGAGGTAGGGTGAGGGCCCACTGAGGTAGGGTGAGGGCCCACTGAGGTGGGGTAAGGGCCCACTGCGGTAGGGTGAGGGCCCACTGAGGTAGGTTGAGGGCCAATTGAAGTACGGCGAGGGCCCACTGAGGTAGGGTGAGGGCCCACTGAGGTGGGGTAAGGGCCCACTGAGGTAGGGTGAGGGCCCACTGAGGTAGGTTGAGGGCCAATTGAAGTACGGCGAGGGCCCACTGAGGTAGGGTGAGGGCCCACTGAGGTAAGGTGAGGGCCCACTGAGGTAGGGTGAGGGCCCACTGAGGTAGGTTGAGGGCCCACTGAGGTAGGGTGAGGGCCCACTGAGGTAGGGTGAGGGCCCACTGAGGTGGGGTAAGGGCCCACTGAGGTAGGGTGAGGGCCCACTGAGGTGGGGTAAGGGCCCACTGAGGTAGGGTGAGGGCCCACTGAAGTAGGTTGAGGGCCAATTGAAGTACGGCGAGGGCCCACTGAGGTGGGGTAAGGGCCTACTGAGGTAGGGTGAGGGCCCACTGAGGTAGGGTGAGGGCCCACTGAGGTAGGGTGAGGGCCCACTGAGGTGGGGTAAGGGCCCACTGAGGTGGGGTAAGGGCCCACTGAGGTAGGGTGAGGGCCCACTGAGGTGGGGTAAGGGCCCACTGAGGTAGGGTGAGGGCCCACTGAGGTAGGGTGAGGGCCCACTGAGGTGGGGTAAGGGCCTACTGAGGTAAGGTGAGGGCCCACTGAGGTAGGGTGAGGGCCCACTGAGGTAGGGTGAGGGGCCACTGAGGTAGGTTAAGGGCCCACTGAGGTAAGGTGAGGGCCCATTGAGGTAGAGTAAGGGCCCATTAGAGTAGATGCGCCCTGTGAAACAGGACGGGGCACCAGTGTAGAGGGACAAGGGAGTGACTCTATCACAGCTATCTCCGTGTCTCATCCACACGATCTACGCGTGTACTTTATCTCCGCTAGTGGACTCCTTGCTGGCCAGAAGATCAGGGACTTAAAGCCTATTTTAACTATATCTTAGCAGGGCTGTGTCATACTTAATGTCGGCGTGTAAATCATATGTTTATAAAATGAGTGCCCGGAGTCTTAGGGTGTATATAATAGCTGTAAACTGTATTAAAATTGATCACTAAAATATGTTAGTCTTTTCTCTTGTAGAGTGTGTTTGTGAAACATTCCGTCCTATACTTTCTACATAAAATCACTGGAAACAAAATGATGGGATAAACGATCAGTTTCAAAGTTTCTTGAGCTGCTCAAAATGATGAAGTACTTGAGGGGAGATAACCACAATAATTAAACAAGAGTAACTGCTTCTAGTGTGTGTGTGTGTGTGGGGGGGGGGGGGGTCATGATAGGGGCGCTCCGTGCTGAATAGATGAATAATTGACAAACGCTTTCCCTTTGACAGTGAAGACCTTTAAAAATCGCAACTACTCTAAGTTACTGTTTTCTAATTACTGGTATAACGAGGCTAGTATTTTCATTACAAACTGCGCTCGTCAAAGAGCTGCTATTTCAAGAAACAATGGAGGCATTGTTCTATGGACTGCCGCTGAAGTCCGCGGCATGAACACCGGACACTGGGTCCCTGGTCTCTCCTCACTAGCTGACCAGCCCTGCTTTAGTGGTCTCAGACACTGGGTCTCTGGTCTCTCCTCTCTAGCTGACCAGCCCTGCTTTAGTGGTCTCAGACTTCAGGCCAAGATTTCCTGTGGGAGTTCCAGAACAAGTTTTCACTTTCAGGATCTATTACAGCCCCCCCCCCCCCCCACCATTCTTAGAGGGGATGTCAAAACTTCCTCACCCCATCTTCTAAGTGCTGTCTAAATACTCCCCCCCCCACCCAAACCGAAACTTATATGTACTGACTAATTCTCCCAACCACACCCTTACCCAGAGGTGCTGCCTATACTCCCCCACCCACACCCCAGACCAGAGGTGCTGCCTATACTCCCCCACCCACACCCCAGCCCAAAGAAGCTGTCTATATTCCCACACCCACACCCCAGTCCAGAGGTGCTGTCTATACTCCCCCACCCACACCCCAGCCCAGAGGTGCTGTCTATACTCCCCCACCCACACCCCTGTTGTATGACTAGACTACGTTTTCTCCTAATCAGATGTAACATCCATCTGTATATCTGGTGGAGCAGGGACTCGATATTGACTTGGTAACCAAGGATGTCACGGCCTAGATGAATCAGGGATTCTCGAGTTATGCCCCATAGTTTACACATAATTGTAAGGCCCTGTCGATACATCGAATGGGGAAAAGCAAAAAGCAATTGGATGCTAGGGGCGGGCTAGTACACGCGTAATTTAATAGGAGTCATGCCAAGATTTCTATTGACTCTGTGAGTTGTGTTTCACGGGCTCGTATCCCTGCACGGAGAATGTTCGAGACTTGTGCCATAAACTTTGTTCACGTTTGACATGTTCATTACACCAACATCGTCATTGGCGGATTATATGTCACGTGTAATGTGGTGCTTGTGGATATGTGTGTGTGGTTTTCTGTGTGGCTGTCGTTGACTGATGTGTGGGTTAGGTGTGGTGGATGTGAATGACTTATGGATGCGATTGTTGCGTGACTTGTTTGGAGTGATTGTGTGTGATGTGAATGTATATGTGCTTTAAATGTGAGGAGTTACTTAAATTTATATAGGTAGAGATCAAGGGAAATAAATCCTGCTAGTCCATTATGAGCTTTCAATTGAGGAGTTATATAGGTAGAGACAAAGGTAATTAAATCCTTCTAATCCATAATGTGCTTTTAATTGAGGAGTTATATATGTAAAGATCAAGGGAAATACATCCTGCTAGTTCCTCCATCTATTGCCACTGTCAGCTCGTCTAGAACCTCACGTGTTGGTGTAAGCAGAGACGTTAACCTGACACCTTGAGTACTCACCTTGACCGAGACACGTACATTTTTATATTCCTCTATTGTGTTACAATTTTCTATCAATTCTCTGCTCAATATTTAATTCGTATTACACTAAACTAAGACACGTGATGAAAATAACTGCAGGCATTGGGTGATATATTTAGACATACAATTGTATCTTGTGTTAAAGATTTAAAGTAAAAGAAATGAACGGACTCACACACACACGCACACGCGCACGCACGCCTACACGCACACACACACACACACACACACACACACTTGTCTGTCTGACAAATAAATGTAGGCTCATTGGATAGCTCAGCTGGTTCATTAGTTGTCTAGGGTAATTAGTGCTGATTGTAGCTATGGTCATGTGTTCTACACTAGCGTGAATCACCCAGGACTTAAAGCTGGAGTTGTTCTGTACCAGACGATGGAGGGGGGGGGGGTTAAGATTTTTAAAATGTGTGGACTGGTTGTAAGATACTGTGTTTAGGTACTTATTTTTTTCTAAGTAAACATTCTTCTTTTTACTTAAAATATAAATTAATAAAAACTTTAAATACGTAATATATAAATGTAATAAAAGAAACTAAAAGTTTCGATATTAATGTTTTTTTTAGACGAAACAGGACTGTAAAGCGGTCACTTGGTTGGTGAGTGTGTTTGATTTTAAACTGATCTTTTGCTGAACATAGCATGAATAATTTGTGTGAGGTAACTTTATAACTGTATGAAGAATATTGCATTCGTTCCTCTTTTTCCACGTTAAATGATGGTGCAGTCAGTTCTAGCTCAGTCACTTTGACTTTACTTGGGTTGGGTTAACATAGGATTATCTACGGGCTCAGTACAAGATCAAACTCGAGACTTTCAACATAACAACGTGCTCTCTACTACCCGGCCAGCTGTCCTACAAGGAAGTCAATCGACTCTGTGGTCACGTGTTCTCTACAAATGTATACCGTTTGGTTCCGCTCTACCAGGTGGGTGTTACTCCAGACACCGAGAATTATTGCTGTATTGTGTGTGTTTTATGTGTGTTGTTTGTGTGTGTTTGATGTGTGTGTGTGTGTGTGTGCGTATTGAACCTCATGAATAAAAAACCCTCTTTGATTCTAAGTGCGAAGGGTGGTAATGTTAATCTCGTGTATGGGTTGAGTGAGTTGAAGGAGTATACGGGATGTTTAAGGGCCTTGTTCATAGTAGTAGGGGTCATCCATAATGAGGTCACACAATTTTTGTCTTTACTACCCTCCCGTTTTGTAAATTGGGATCTAGACGAACGACCTCTCGACACAAAGTATGTCTTTAGAAGTATCACAACACCACAAACGAATTTGTTGTAGAATTTGTTGTAGACATTCATGATCAATACGGGTAATTGTTTGCAGTTCATGTTTATGCCAAAAAATGTGTTCCTGTTCTAGTTTCAATTGAAATCATCGTATCCAGCCCGCTTAAATAAAATAGCTACGAGTAGGAATCTCCCGCAAAATAAAAAAAAATGGTTGTATGTAAATAAATAATTGTATTATTAAATAGTCATCTAGCCATCATTTCACCATAATTCAATGTGATTCAAAAGATTGCAATGTTAAACATATTTAGTTACTTCCCATATCTTGATTTAATTAAATCAAGGGGAAAAAACTTCAATAATTATTTTTTAAGTCGTTAAAATACAGATCAATTTAGTTAAATAAAAAATAATTGTTTGTTACAAAATTTAAATATAGAAATTTAAATTTTTATAAATTGACATAAATTTTATAAGTTATAAATTTAAAAAAAAATAATTTAATTATATTCAAAAAATAGTACCCTTTAACTGTTTTAATTCCTTGAATTATACATATAAAAAGGTGCACTTCTTAAAATTGCTTCATAGTGGACACCAGGTGTATAGTGACCTTTAAGTACCAAGCTTTTTTTTTAACCAAACGAAAATAAACAAAATGGCTGCTTAAGTAAATGAGCTTGGTTGGGTCTGATAAAAACATCGCTATTACCGAAAAGCTTTAATACAATTGTTTAAAAACAGTTAGTCATTTTGTCAGAGGATGGATTTTTAAAAAGTTAAGGAAGTAACAGTGGAAGTGACTGTAAAGAGATGAATAATACCACTTTTATAGAACATCACGATTCCGAACTCTCTGATCTCCCTAAGGATGAGAAGAAAAATATAAGTGATATAATTTCTGATGAATCTATTGACTTCCTTGGACTAGTCTCAAGCAATAAATCAATCAACAAATTAAACTGTTTTTTTAGCTAGCTATCAACAGGAAGGAAATTATAATGGAAATAGTAAAATTCCTGTTGGAGTTGAGGTACCATATGGGAGATATTGGTGCAGATTTTTTCTATAATCTTTGACCAACACAAGCAACAAACCTTCCCACAACATAATCATAAATGATTAAGAAAAAGATAGTTATTTGAAATCCTGTTGCATCACAAATAATGGTTCTTCTAATGAGTGTGTTCTATATATATACTAGCCGTCCCGGCCAGGCCCTGCTCTGGCTTCTGTGAAAAACCTTTCTGTTAAAGACCATTACCTGTGTGTTTAGTAATCATCATAAACCCGGCATTGCCCACCCAAACCACAACCAACTAAAACAACAAAACGCAAACATAACGCTAACACAATTACAAATACAAACGAAAACAAAAACCTAACAACAAACCCAACCACAACCACAAACACCAATACAAACACAAAGAAAAAACAAACAAAAAAGCAAACGAAAACAAAAACCTAACAACAAACCCAACCACAAACACCAATACCAACAAAAAAAAACAAAACAACGAAAAAGCAAACGAAAACAAACCAAATCCAAACGCAAAACCAACAAAAAACACAAATACAAACCCAAAGAAAAAAACACAAACAAAAACGAAAAAAGAAAGAACAAAAACGAACCAAATCAAAACGCAACCACTAACGCAAACCCACCTAAACACAAAGAAAACACTAACGCGAACATAAACGCCCGGGGCGGAATCACCTGTTTTAGCTTAATGAA